TATATATATATATATATATATATATTCTTTTGGTTGACTGAGATGTCGTTAGTCAATCATTCCATCTGGATGTCGGACGACCATCGTGTCTTGGAAGTTGTTTGAGTTTGAGCGTTACGGGAAGCATGTCTGGATTGTCGTCCAAGGATAGTCATTCAAGGATGGTCGGCTGGTTTTGTGCGGTCGGTCTAAGATGGTCAGCTGATTATCTTAGGAGATGGACGACCATAGATGACCATTCACCTTTTGCTGACGACCGACAAGGATGGTCGACCATTTGGAAGGTCGGGTTTCAGCTAATTAGTTGAAGAATCATAGGGCTTCACATTTTCCATCATACATGCTTGTTCGTTGTCAGTCGGCCCAAGATGGTCCTTGGTTGGTCGACCTTAGGCCGCATAGTCGGTCATGTGTTCTCCAACCGAACGTCTAGCTTTTGACTTGGTCCATCAAGCTGCTTCGAGATCCTTGCAGGGCATTTTTTGGTGTACATATTAAGTTCTCCAATTTTTTTTGCTTCTTGACAGTGACAACTGCGACAAGGAAATTAAAAATTTTAAATGCAACAAAATGAATCTCATAATGATTTTTATTTAATGCCATAAATTGAATCCCTTGATTTTTGTCCCTATGACACTTCTATATAGGGCACCAGAGGGGCAACTTCATCATCTCAAGTTTGTTCCTCTTCTGGGGTTTGTTCGCCGTTCATTATTTATTTAAGGAGAAAGGATCTGACTCCGTGCTAAAACCCATTGATAAAGCTAAAATGCTAGTTGTTCTCGAAATAAGATAGCGCTGACCTAAGGGTGAGCCATCAAGGAAGAAATTGGCAAAGAGGCCAACTTTGATTGAAGGAGTGAAGGCGGAAGAGTTGTTTGATTCGATTCAGGATATCCTGGGGAAAATTTTGCTTAAGGCTAGAGGGGAGCATGGTGCCTCAGCAACCGACCCGTCGACAAAAAACTTCCTTCGAGGCACAAATTTAGCTGAATGTTGCGAGTATTTTCCTTCTGGTTGATACTCAACAAATAGGCGGAGATGACCCTTTGGATTGTGAGAAGGGGTCAACAAATGATTTTTTTTCATGTAATGTGGGTAGACCAACCTGATCCGAGGTGAATTAGATCTCGGGTAAATTATTTTCCTTTTTCCTTTTTCCTTTTCCTTTTTAAGTAACATGATGCTTAATGACAACTTTTCTTTTCATAGATGAGGATCATAATGCTGGGCAATTGCCAACAGACGTTGGTAGTAGTGACCCAATCCTATGCACAAATCCAGCTCCCAAGCTATTGGCCGGTAGAGAAGAGGATGTGTTCAATCGCCCAGCTGAACTTGACGAGGTTCAGGGTGAAACTTTTGAGGGATATTGGCCGTCCCGCAAGACTACAACATGTCGTTTAAAGGAACTGTCGGCGATTATGCACCGGCAGGATTGAGACTTGCAAACCAAGATGGAGGAATGTAGAAAGAACCAAAGCCCTAATGTTGATGTAAACACTGCATATTCAAATTCAAGATTATTCAAAACCCTAATTTCAATGAGCTTAATATTTGACATATTTATATTCAAGTTGAGGGCCTTGATGAGAGGAATCTAACAAGCCTAAGGTCCCTTAATGTTGATGTCATTAAGACCCTCAAAACGTTAAATAAACTATATAATTAAAAAGAATTAATATGAGTCGTTCGATCAGAAGGATGAGGTTATTTGCTAAAGGATTAAAACACACCTGCCCTAGGAGCTATAAATAGATCACATCTCTTCATTTGATAAGAAAAAATAAGAGAAATAATTCGAGAGACTGTTATGGACTAAAAACCTGATGATAATTTTCAGCATTCGTAGCAATGGATCACCATTGGCTGCTGTCGACCACAACCAACTTCTCCTGCTCTTCACCATTGATTATATTTGCTAACGTCGTTTCTGAAATATGACTGAAACATGTAAAAACATATTGAAGATCCACAATAACGTTTGGTGACCACTGCTTACGACCGTTGTATCCATAACACGACATTTCTTTTTGGAATCCTGAAGTTTGTTTATACACCGTATACAGATAATATTTGTATCTCGTGTAAAATTATAACTCTACTATCCCAGGCGCGAGAAAATGGGTGTATCTTTGTACTTACTCAACTATAGTGGATTACTTTGACTAGGCTATAAAACGTTGTTTTTTTTAAAAAATTTTGAGTTTTTCCACGTAAAAATTTTTTGTCTTCTCCTTCTAGTTTCTTATTATATGTTTATGTATTGTGCTGTATTTTCATGCAATGCTAAGACGCTTATGAATCACTCAAACATTGCAAATTTTTTAACCCACAACAGAAAATTTACTAACACAACACCTAATTTCTTTGTATTTACATATCTAACACCTCAAATTTCTTTTTTTTTTACACATTTATACTACACAAATCTTTTATATCATATAAAAATGCAAAAAAACAAAAAATGTTTTTAAAAAGTGAAAACACTTTTTAGAAAGTAACTTTCATTCATTGGTAAAGTGATATGAATGCAAAAATTTTAATTTAGATTATATATATATATATATATGTGACAGCTCG